TAATAATATAGCAGAATTCTAACTAGAAGCTTAATATAAACTAAGGACCTTAGTTAGAAATAATTAACTTAGGGGTATATCTAAAATAATATACCTACTAAATAAAGAGTTTAGCTATGCCTTAGGTAGTAGTTATCTTATAGCATAGTATTAAGATAGCTTACTTAGAGAGATAATTAATAATTATAAGAATTTAATTATATCTAGCTTTATCTTTTAGAAATAACTTAGAATCTATATATAAATGCTATATAGGTTAGTTAGAGATTAGTAATAGATATAAGTACCTATAGAGTTAGGTCTATCTTAGATAGTTATAGTAATAAGATAAATAGTTTTATATATAGTAATTATAAGTAGCACTTATATCTTTCTAATAGTATTATTAGAATAATAATTAATATATTTTCTTAGCACTAGAGTAAGTAGTAGATACTTAGTTATAGACTTTATAAATAAGGTAGGTATAGAGTAGAGGATCTATAGGTATATATAGGTAGTTTTTATATAGTAATAAGCTATAGTAAATCTAATACCCTTCTAGTAGAGCTTAATATTTCTAGAGGAAACTATTATAGTTTATTTAAAGAATAGCTTTAACTATTTCTAGCAAGTTAAGTTCTATCTTCTTTTCTATAGAGGTAAGAGTTATTACTACTACTATTTCTAGGTATTACTTAGCTAAGTTAGAGTTAATACTAGGGTATAGTTAGTAAAAACCTAGTAATACTTAAGATTAATTATCTAGCTAGGCTACCTTAAGGTTACTTAAGTCTTATTTATATTAGCTTAGAATATTAGTATGTTTATTCTACTTACTAGGTATATACTTAATCTAGAAATTAAATAGGCTTAATACTTCTACCTAATAGGCTTAATATATATTAAGAACCTTAGTAATTATAAAATATTCTAGTAACTAGTAGTTAGAGTATACTTAGATCTAAGTTATAATTAAAGTTAATTCTATCTACTATTTTTTAAAAGCTTAGAAGATAGTAAATAGTTCCTTATTATAGATCTTCTAGTTAAGTTCTGCTCCTACTAGAATGCAGCTATAGAATATAATAAAATACTATTACTTATCTAGGTATTCTTAAGATAAGATACTTATAATAATACTATCTAATATATTAGTCTTAATCTTTATAGGGTATATAGAGTTAAAGTAATATAAGGTTAGTATAGCTAGAAGACTCTATTTAAGAGACTTAAAACTAGTCTAATATGCCTCTATCTACTTAAACTTATTATTTAGGCTTTAGAGCATAATTAAAGGTTTAGTAACTTAAGAAAACTTAGGCATAAATTATTAATAGAAACTAGTAAAACTAAGGTATAACTTAACTCTAGTAATTATTATAGGGGGCTTCTAATTATATAGAACTTATACCTTCTTAGAGTCTACTTTAATACTTATATTAGTAAGAATATAGCCTAGGTATTTAGTTCTAGTAATATAGAACTTACTTTTCTTAATATTAATTTAGAGACTAGTAAATCTAAGCTATTTAAGAATAAGCTTAATATGCTTCTTATAAGTTACTTTATCCTTAGAGTAGATTAGGATATTATTAAAGTATATAATATAGAAGTTATCTAAATAATTAATAAGTATATTATTTATATACTATTAGTAGGTAGCTAGACTATTATAAAGGCTAAATAGTAATACTTTATACTTATAGGTACTATATTAGGTATAAAATATAGTATACTCTTTAGAGGTAGGATCTATTTAGATTTAATTAAATACTGCATAGATATTAAATTTACTAAATATCTTAGCTTTTAATAAGTATACTAATAATTTATCTATATAAGGTATTAGATATAAGTTCTTATAGGTAAAGTTATTAAGCTTCTAGTAATCTATATAGATCTATAGACTACTATTTAGTTTATATATATATAAGACTAGAGGAGTAAAAGGGCTCTAACTATACTTAATTTATTCTTACTTAAGTTATTCTTATATAAACTTCTTTATAGCTTTAAGTTCTTTAAGGTTCTACTTATATAATAGGGAGTATAAGTTAAGTAAGGGTTCTTTTAATATAATCTTATAATTATATAGTTAATAAGGTAGTAGTATCTTAGCTTCTATCTTATTAAATATATTAGCATATTAGTAATATCTAGCTAGCAGCTTATTATATAGGAGATAAGTATTCTTAAGGTTATCTTAGTAGTTATCTAGTAATTGCTAGATTTTATATAAGTTAGTAATAAAGAATTTATTTTAGAGTTATTGTATAGTAAAATAAAAGGTATTTATAGATAAGAATATAATAGTAGCAACCTTAAATAGATATAGTATAGAAGGGAGTTAGGGTATAGTTATTAGAGTTTTATTTACTATAGCTAAAGGCTAAGATTAAAATTTTAGTATAGAGGTTATGCCTTGCATAAAATATATATTTGCTAATAGGCTTAATACCTATTAATAATTATCTATATCTTATAGGTTATCTTATTACTTAATATCTAGTTATATATTAAGGGAGACTATAGGTTAATATAATATTATTAAAATAGAGAGAGTAGAGTTATAAGATTTTAAATACTTAGCAGGCTAAACTAACTAAGACTACTCTATATTAAGTCTAAGTTTAAACTTACGCAACTATTTAATTCTAATAATATAATCTTAAGAACTTAAATTAATAATAATAAATAGGTAGTTATATATCTTCTATCTATCTATAATTATATAGAGTTAGATATAATAAGATATAGAGAATATAATCTAGTCCTAAAAACCCTTTACTTATACTAAGAAAGGTAGCTTCTAAATAGGAGTTTAGAGGGCTATTAAAATAGAGTTTATAATTAATAAATTTAAGAATAAGAAACCTTAGGCACTAGTATTAATTAAGGAGTAGAATTATATACTATAACCTTTATAATATAGCATAGTTTCTAAAAGAAAATAAGGTCTACTAAATAAATAAGATAAGGAAAGATTTAAGAGGTTATATTAGTTTAGGCCTAAGTAGAGTAATCCTCTTAAGTAACTCTATTTCTTATAGGTATTAGGTTCTTATCTATATCTTTCTTAGCATCTATAAACTCTTCTTATTTAACTTTAATTTTGCGCACCTAAAGTATTATATATTCTTTTATAAAATATCTAGGTTTACTATAGTTATAGTAAGTACTAGGTATTAGATCTCTTATAGGTATTAGTATGCTTAGTATTACTTATAGGTTTAGAGTGCTATATATAAATATAGTTAAATAGGATAGGTTAGAATATTCTTATTAGTATAATAGTATAGTAGGCTGCTTTAGGTCTAATTAGAGTTAGGGCCTAAAGGGTAGAGGCTAGGTAGTAGCTAGAGGTATTACTATTAGATTATTCTTTTATTCTATATTATAGGTAGTAAGGTATTCTACTATCTATAGAAAGGAGTTTACTTATTACTATTTAAAACCTAGGTTAGGTACTTAAAGGGCTAAAGTAAGTTTAGTCTATAAGTAATAAAACTACTCTAATTAGAGTACTTATTCTTTAATAGCTAAGCTAAGGAAATAACTTTTTAAGGCTAGAAAAGTTTTATTTCTTTCTATTTAAAGTTTATTAAAAATTACTTAACTCTCTACCTACTTATTTCTAGTAATAAAGTATATTTATAGAAGTAATATTATCTCTTCTATAGTATAGAAATAGTTACTATTATTATCTAATAAGTACTAAGGTTCTAGGTACTCTTTAGCTAACCTAGAGGTATAACTCTAAATAAGGGCTATATAAGCTTAGGTAGACTAATAGTAATTTAAGTTAATCTCTAATTAATCTTATATTAACACTTACTATTACTAAAAGATAGGGCTCTTCCTATTAGTAAGTACTTTAATATTAAAAGTTCTTTTACTTAGCTTTTCTCTAGTTATAAAGATAGTATTTACTTTAGATATTTATTAGACCCTTTATAGTCTAGGGGTCTCTATAGAGAGATAGGGAAGGTCTATAGGATAAAGACTAGTATAAAGTTTAGCTAGCTCCTAATATAACTAACTAATCTTATAGGCTAATACTATATATAAGTAGTCTAATTCTAACCTGCTTTCCTCTAAAGGTAAGAGTTATTCTTAGACTAAACTAGAAAGAGGTTTATAGGACCTACCCTTTCTAGACTTAGCTTAAGATCTAGTTAAGAGACTAGCTATTATGCCTAATATTATATTAAGTTTAATTTAGGTAAGTTATTAGTAGTCTCTATATCTCTACTATAGCGCAATCTAATGCAACTTTTCTAAAGTAATAATCTAAACCTAAAGGCTTTAGTTATTAAGAGGTCTCTAGTATCTTAACTAGAAGTAAGTAATCCTAGAAGTAGTATAGTTAGACGCGTGTTAGACTGCTTACTTATAACTAAATACTAATATAATATTATTTAGAGGCTATTACTAGCTAGGATAAGTTTTTAAGTATAATATAGTAATATAGGTAATAAGATTCTCTAATATAGTTCTAATTCTACTATTAGGTATATAAGAGTACTAGGAAAGTTAATAACTAGAGAGAATTTTATTTCTATAAGTCTTATATAAAGAATACTTAAAAACTATCTATCCTAGAACTACTATAGGCTTACCTTTTATACCTATAAGTCTTAGTTAGCTATAGATAGATAAGAAATAGTAATAGAGATAAGTTAAGACTAAGTTAGAGAGGAGTTAGAGGTTATTTAAGTTAGGTAGTATCTTATTTATAAGATTTAAGATTTTAGTAGTTAATTCTTATAATAATAATATAAATAAATAGCTTATCTTACTACCTAGCCGATATGACGCGCGCGATCGGGCCCGATCATCGCCAGACTAGGTCTAGCGCTAGGGTTGCGCGTCCAAATCGGGCCCGCCGTAGGGGGCGAACATCGCGCCTTCGACCCCCGATCATACCCCCAAGCTGCGCTGCTTGCGCGACGTGTTCCATACAAAACCTGCCGAGAATCATCTGCTCTATCGCGCCCCAGCCTTTGTTTTCTGCATTTCTCGGCTTGCGTTGCTGCACTTGGGGTCATCTTAGGGTTTCTTAGGGTTAACTCGCCAAGCATGGAGCTCTGCTGGAACGCGCAGCCACCCGCAACGCCAACCGCAGCGCAGCACCGCAAGCGACCGCGTGCGAGCAAGATAACAGTCAGCAACGTGCAAGAGCGCTTCTGCTACCTCCAGCGCTATCAGGTGCTAGTCTGCAGGGAGCACGCTACCGGCATACAGAACGTCGATGTGCACCTGCGCGACCAGCACGGCGTGGCGAGCAAGGAGAGGGAATGCATCGTGGAGCACTGCCGGCAATGGCGGATCGCCGCGCCGCGAGACGTCGAGCTGCCCGCGCCGCTGGGGCCGCCGATCGAGCAGCTGGGCGAGCCGCTGGACGTCTATCGATGCAGGATCACCAGCGACTGCGGCTTCTGCACCGCGAGCAAGAGCAGGATGCAGAAGCACTGCAACAGCGCGCACCAGACGGCTTGGAGCAGCAGAGACGCTGCGCTCTGCGAGAAGGTCAAGGCGCAAACGTTCTTCCGAGCCGGCGGGCTCCAGCGATACTTCGTCGTCAAGGCAGCGGAGGA